CGTTTAATTAGCGTGTTTAATTTTTTTGGAATCTTATAAATTGTTTTTAATCCTTTTTTCTTAAGAGTTAACATAAAACATATTAATCTGAAGATTTATTTTTACACTAAGTCTGTTAATCAAATGTTTGCGAAACTCATTAATCGACAGCAGTATAAAATTCTTAATTTTGAAATTAAGGATTTAAATATTAGGTTAAAACAATTTAATTTTGAAGCTCAAAAAATTGAGAAAATACTTAGAAACAATTTACCACATGACTTAATTGATAGCTTCTTTGAAATTAATTTAAATTATTTGACAACATTTAATAATAAAAAAAGAAATGTAGAAATCAAAAAAATTCAATTTTTTGGCGTATAAACATAACACTCTCGTGGAACCTCTTCAAGATATTGACAATTCAAAATGGGTGATCAATATTAGCGGCACGGCCGTCCCGAAAAATGTAACGGATTTTTTAAGTTTAGGAGATAAATTTGCCCTGCCTATTAACCAAGGGGAAAAAAGGGCCAATGTCAAATTGTTCTTGAAACAATTAAAATATAGAAACTTGTAATAAAAGAATACCTAGCGAGTTGATAGATTCAGCAAGGAGTATAACGACTAATCAAGTGAAAGTTTCCCAGTAAACACAGTATATAAATGTTATATACTTAAGCATGTTACATGTAACGTATATGTTAGTTGTAATTTCCCACTCATAGATGTAACATTTTAATATTACATATATTACATTGTAGTTATATTGTCATTATATCACAAGATAGCACTTACTTATCAATACATCAATCTGCTATTTGGTATATAATTACAATATAACTACAATGTAATATATGTTCTATTAAAATGTTACATCTATGAGTGGGAAATTACAACTAACATGGATGTTACATGTAACGTACACGTTATATTACCTGTTATATTCCGTATTATTATAGCAATGTAACAATTATATATCGGTGTTTGCTGGGTTTTTAAGTAAACAAAAACATCTTAGCGTTATAGATAGATATATGTTGAAAAGTTTGGCTAATTGCAAAAACTTCATACGTAACAACCAAAATTTATTAATAACTAAAGCTGATAAAGGGCAAGCCACAGTAATAATGAACAAAAGTGACTACATTTTAAAAATGAGCTCCTTATTGGATGATCGAACCACTTATAAAAAATTAGACAAAGATTCTATTAAAAAGTTAACAAATAAAATTAATTCTTTGGTAAAATCTTGGCACAATAACAATGTATATAATTGACGAATCAACGTATAAGAGATTAAATAATACAAATGGAAATCTCCCGCAATGCTACGGGCTGCCGAAGATACATAAAACTGGCGTTCCTCTCCGAATTATTGTATCTGCACTTGGCAGTCCTGTATACAATATTGCACAGTACATACATAAAATTCTACACAATACTATAGAAAAACCGAAATCACATATAAAAGACGGTTGGTCATTTGCAAAAGAAGTAAAAAATATGAACATCAATGACGACGAAGTTTTAATTTTATTAGATGTAACATCACTATACACTAACATCCCTAAAGAACTTGTAATTGAGGCTATTAAAAAAGATAAAACACAATCTCACAGAATACCACATTGAATTTGTCACAGCTTACCTTCGCAATAGAAACTATATTAGATTCCACGACATTTAGTTTTAATGGCCACTTTATGAACAAGTTTCGGCAGCTCGATGGGTTCTCCATTGTCACCCATTTTGGCAGATATTGTTATGAACGATTTAGAAACCTTTTGTTTAAATTCATTGACTTTTAATGTACCTGTATACGTTGACGACATCTTCACGATTTTACCACGCTCTAAGGTTAATGAAATGTTATCAGTTTTTAATGTGTACTACCATTGCCTAAAATTCACTTATGAAATTAAAAAACACAATTGTTTAAACTTTCTTGACACGAGTGTCATCAGATGTAAGGATGGGAGATTGATCACTAATTGGTATAGGAAGCCCACTTTTCGGGAAGATATATCAATTTTCTTTCCGCGCACCCATTCAAATATAAAATTAATTGCATTAACAACTTAGTCAATAGAGCTATTTTACTGTCTGACAATAAATTTCATAATGACAATATTCAAATTATTAAAGACATTCTAACCAATAATATATATTTTCCATCTCATGTTATTAAAAACCATATTAAAAAAAGATTACATGTAATTAATAATATTACTAATAGTTTTGACAACAAGAGAGATGAAAATAACAATAAAAAATTTGACATGTCTTCACATATTATGTTACCGTATATCAATAATCTGACTGATAACATTTCTAAAACTCTTAAGAAAAAAGGATTAAAAACAATTTATAAGATTCCAAAAAAATAAACACGCTAATTAAACGTGGTAAAGATGTATTACCGAATATGAACAAAACGAATGTAGTATACAGATTAGAATGTAATGATTGTGACGCGTCGTATATAGGACGAACAAAAAGACATTTGATTACTAGAGTAAAAGAACATCAGAATAATATAAAAAGACGCTCCGACGGCCGGACGGTTTGAATAGGGAGGAGAATGATATTTAATTTATTTGCGGATTGTATGTATATGAGTTTTATAATTTTTTGTTTGTACCGATTATCTTTTATTTTTGTTTCTTTGTATTTTGCAGCTACTGAAGAAGACCCGAAGTGGGTCGAAACGTTTAGAATTTAATAAATGAGTTTGATTTGAGATCTCATTTTAATTTATTAATTTTGTGCATGTCGTCCGCACAGGCTCCGATTGCCGTTGAGATTTTATTTTTATTGTAACACAATAATTCGAGCCGAGATTAACTGTTTTTAAATATAAAAAGACATAATATATAATGAAACAAGCCACTCGGTGGTCAGTAAACATAAAACCGAATGCAATCATGACTTCCGATGGCTTGAGCCATGTATTTTACATACCGAGAAAAATAGACAAAAGAGAGAGATCGTTGAAATGTTCTACATAAAAAGACAAACAAGTAAAATTAATTTACAAATAGACACTGATAACCCTAGTTTTATTTATGACAACATTATTCAAATCATTTAAAAACATAATACTAGTTTACAGTAACTAACAAACTGTCGATATGACAGGACAACTTTCTATCTTTAATTAATGTAATTGCTGAATAAGAACAAGTATGTATTATAGATCAAATTTAATGTTAATGTAATGTTAATTTTGCTTGCCAAATTGTGTATTTTTGTATTCTAGCACTTGAGAAGGACCACAATGTAGGTCGAAACGTAGTGTGTACTTATTATCAATAAATAAATAGCCAGTTTTTGGTCGAATCAAATTGCATCTTATTATTTGTTAAAATTTATCACTGGCAATCAACAATTAGTTGTGAATATTTATTAAATGTTTGGAAATTTATAAATATTCAAAATTTTGTTATTAACTATTCTATAAGTTAATTAATGATTAAACTAATATGAATTTGCTTTGAAGCGATCATAAGACTTAAAAGTTATGTCGATTCGTTTTATTAACTTAAAAATAAGAAAGCATCGAGAGATCCTCCCTTATCATGCGAATATTTACAAGCAATGCCTTTCGCAATTTTTCAAAAAACACCTTTGTTTACATTACTTAATTCACGCACCATATTTTTTTGAATAATTTTCTTAAAAATTACTAATTTGAATAATTTCCTTAAAAATTATATATAAAGTAATCCTAAAGGAAAATACAAATATTGCTTAATGCATTCGAAATTTAAGTAAAAAGTATCATGTCAGTTTAGGTACTATCTTCACAAAAATTATCGAAATATAACATTTGAGTTTATAAATAATGAATATCTTTACATGACTGTTTTGCAAACTCGAGTGCCAAAAAGTAGTTTATTAAATAGCAGGTTATAATTAAATTGAATAATTGTAAAGTTATGATATTTTAGTCAAATTAAGCAAATAAGTAATATTTGAAAGACATTTTTTTACAAAAAGTTTTAATTAAAATTTTAATTTCTTAAAATTTACGATAAGCACATTTTATAAAAATATTTTTTTGCAAAAATAAAGAATAAATATCAATAGTGAATAAAATTGGGTAATACATAATTATTATAGACTTATAGAAAATAATTTCATTCATAATTATGTAATACTAATTATTAAGTGGCTAACAGAAAATAATTTATACACATTTTTTGTCGGTTAATATATTTTTATTGTAAAAAGTTATATGTATAATCATGAAGAAAAGCGACGAGTCTAAAAACCAATGGGCACATAACGCGTATAAATACTTTTTTTTTTTTTTTTAATAAGTCACTGTGGAATTTTGAAATCGATGGGAAAATTTTTGCGCGACAAGAATATGCGTTCGACATTTTTGCTTTATATCTACTTTTTATTATTATCGCTCAGTGTCAAGTCTTGTTTGCTTTTTCGAAAATTCCTCTGCATGCCGCTTAAAATTATCTCGATTTTCCATAAGTATCATCTTATCCAACATTATAAAACGCCACAGAAATTCTACAATTTTTCGCGATTTCTTATTTTTTATCACAGCAAATATAGTGGCTTCTATGTTTATCTTGTTTCACATACGCTTGAAAAATTTGTTAGAACTTCAGGTAAATTTTCAAATTTGTATAAATGTATTTGTTCAAAATAAGAGCGAACAATATATCTAAATTGTAATTAATTAAGTCTTATATTTAACTGGACGTGATTCAAGCATCAATTTAATTAATTAAAGAAATTTTTTAGATGACTTCACCTTTAAGGAAGAAATTAAAAATATTGTTAAAGACCAGAGTTTGTGAGAAAATCGTATTTGATCAATATTGAATCAATGTTTCAATAAAAAATACAGATTGTGTGTTATAAGATCTATATTATGCAATACAATTATGCAATTGGATATGCGATTGGAAAACCAAACAAAGCGATAACGTTCCAATTCAATTAAAAAAAGAAAAAAGAAATAGTAATATTTAAAAATGATATAAATTTTGCAGGACCCACCCTGGAACCACCGTTACCCAGACGCAAGAAATGCCCAGAACTCGCTTACAAAACACACGAGTTTATCACAGCAGCGGATGGTGGTGGTATCGATGCCATCGACTCGAACGTCGTAGCTGATAAGGTATGGGATTCATAATTATTCTGTGATTTTTGTTTTTTTTCTCGTTGTCAATAAAAATTCTATTTATGACATCAAAACTATTTAAAAAAATGTTTTAAATGAGTTTAAGATGAATTTATTCTTAAGCGTTGGTCTTTACGGGATATCCCGTATATATATGTATATATAAAAATGTGACTATTCCCTGTGTTAGTGTTTTAAGCTTTCGTACAATCTACAAATAATTCTGGTGATCTTAGCAAACGCTGTTATGATTGGTTTGCTATATGCTCTTCAGGATGACCAATACTTCAACTTGAAAGATCATGGCTGGATTATTTACTCTGTGGTTGCTTTTTTGTTCATAGATTCTTGCACTAAAGTGTTCGTTTGCCTTCCGTCCATGTACTAGAACTTCATGTTTTGATAGTCAAGAAATTTTAATTTTTCAGCTAGTCTTCCCTAATTAGTATCCAAATTTTGAATCAAAATTTCTTTATTATTTCTTTAGTGTTCTGTCTTGTTCTAGTGTAAAATTGTAATTGCAGAAAAACTTAAATGCGATATGAGACTCCCGTATTCCCGTGATACTTCGTTTTATATATTGTGAGTCTTGCTTTGTTGGTGATTTCGTAATCCAAGAGTGGATTACAAAACTATTTCCAGCCTTTCTGTTGATGTGGTTTTTACGATTCCTGTTGCAGTCCTTAGGTAGCTGCCTTATAAGGTTTTTTAATTTCCTTGCTCATACATTTTCTTCACCATTGGTCATACTACAGCAGTATATGAACTTGAACTTTAATATTGTTTAGTAGAATCCGAGAACATAGTACAGGGTTTTATACTCCACATTCTTTCCATGGCTTTTCTGCACATGGAAGATAATTTATTCCTCTTCTTTTTCAAATACTGTCTTCAGTAAACTTGATGTCTAGACTGCCAAGTATTTTACTATGTACTGGGTGTAATATATTTCCTTTGCTTAGAGTTATATGTATAGTAGTTCTACGGGTTTTAATTTGTATTTCCTGAGAAATATGTTGGTGTTGGTTCAAGTTGGTGTAACATTCAATTCCTTGTTAAACATCAGTTATATGTTGCTTATGGCTTTATTCATTGCATTTCCTAAAAATGATCAAAAAATTGCTTATTATTATGACTATGCTACATTAACATAGTTGTGGCAAAGAAACCAGGTTTCTATAGTTTATCTAGAAGTTTATTAGACACCATAATAGAGAAGAATATCTCCCTTTTTTATTGTTTGACACAAAAAAGATTAGGAATGACGAATTACGTAATTATAAGTGTCACCAATCAATTTTACGCACGAAATTAAATTTATAATTTCTAAGGTACATGAAAATATTAATTGAGTTTAAAATATTAACTTTTGTACTGCAGGAAGTCACGTCGACACTGCCACCAAGCCAGCTGAGCAAAGCGATATCTCGTATAAGCACCGAATACAGGCTGCAATTTGCCTGGCCTAGAAAACCTCAATTAATGAATGGCGAAGCTCAGGTACCGGTTTCAGCAGCGGGCGTTTCCGCGGGCACTACGTGTCCTCCAAGAAAGTCGCTCAGCATGGGGGCCCTTAAGCAAGGCATGACGATTACTGGACCGGCGCCGGTACATAAAAAGCGACCAGGCGACTTTGATCATAAACGCGATGGTACTTGTTAAGACAATCTGCACAATATTTCAATATTAATCAATAGATACAAAAGAATGTTATACGTTTTGGACCAACTTTGTGTTAACTGTGTTAATCATAATATTTGTCTTAATTATAAATTTATTCTTTTGCCACTAACAATCGCTATATAGTTTTCCGTAAACCTATCTCTCTGTACAAATGGCCACTATAATGGACAACACGCAATATTTTAAATTATTTGAATATTGATATCAATCTTTGAAGTCTAAACATCTTTCTAAACACTCATCTGCATCATAAACAGAGGGTCTTACGCCTAAGGCGGCGCGTAACGCTGTTTTCCGTTGTAGCCATGCGCTAATTGGCAACTTTAACAATTTATAGCGTCAAAAATAAAGCTCAGAAAAAAATGGCTCAGGACTTTTCGATATAGTTTGTCATCCTGCACCTGATGGTGTGCTTCGTGTACCTTTGTTTAGTTACACCCTATATAGTAGATCTGTCTGGGATACTCTGTATATATTTTCTTCATATGTTTCTTATAGGAATTCAGGCGTCAGAACTGGAACCACTAGTAGGCAGTGGAATGGATACAATCGACGGCGTAGTACCAGAGGGCGATGAGCGTGAGGAGGATCTACCAGACTTGAAAATAACTTTCAGGTCAGATTATCTCAACTGGATTTGTAAATATATTTTCTCGAGTAAGACCTTTTATAAGAATAAGAGAGAAAGCAAAAGAAAAGATTAGAAATAGGGGAAGGTACCTACGACGATTTTGATCGGTGTGAAGACGCGATAACGTGTGATAACGCGATTACGTGATGACGACACTGTTACCATGACGATGATTATGCTATCATTACACGTAAAATTGATTATTTCCAGGAATAAAAAGTCAAATAAAGTCGTACGGATAAAGGACAATAAGGTGCCGGGCAAATCGCAAGCGAAACCGTTTCCTATGGCGGAAGTAATCGAGCTTCGCCGTCTCGCTGACGAGTACAAGGTAATCTGTGGGATTTGTTTTGTTATTTCAGAACTAAAGGTTTTCTTCTTCGAATTATCATGCGAATTGTCGACTTTTTCCACACACAGTTCATCCCTCTTACGTAAATATCCCTTCTTAGTCGCCGTATTCACGTATCCACCTATTATATACAATTTCTCTAATTAATCTAATCGTTACAGTTAAGCTTATTTTTCAACATCAGCAAACAATTTGCAATCGTCAAAATTATACATATATAGGGTGTCCGGTAATAATCCTATGATCTTTCGTGTGCAAGTAGAGCGAATCCGAATAGGAAAATTCTTTACCATTTTGCGATTTTACAATAATTAATGAGAAATTAATTAGAAAAGATTGTCCAATCTTTTTTAATTAAATATTACGAAGATCGTAAAACGTAAAAAACTTTTTTTCTACCATTTCGATTTAACTCGCTCTACCTGCGTATCAAGTCGTACGGTATTAAAGGATACCCTGTATGTTTTATGTTGTTTTCTTATATTACGTGACTTTAGTCGTAACAACTCAATTGCAACTGCAATCGGATGATACAGACCGTATCGATATGATATAATACACTGATATACTGATGACTTTTGATTTTTTTCATTAAAAATATTTTTTGTGCAACCGGCGCGCGAAAAGTCGCCCTTTACGCACATGATGGGATTTTAGAAAGGGCTCCCTTTCCACGCACCGGTCACACAAAATATCATAGTCAACATGTGCGGGTAATGAATCGGCCGATCGTGCGAATTGTCACACTCATTGTCAGCTTCGCCTCGTGCGCCAAACTTCCGCACTCTCGGCCGATTTACGATCCCCCGCACTTGTTAGCTAATATACTATTAAAGCACTCTCTGATAGCGATTATTTGATAGTAGACAACTTTATATTACATTGATTTTTTAATTCATAAACATAAAATATACATTTGTTGCATGTAATTTTCAAATTGTATATAAAGTATTATAATAATTTTATTTTTTCACAAACTCTGAAATAAAAAGAAAAACTTATTAATTTAAAAAACCTATGAAAATAAAAATGTATAAAAAGCATAAATACTAATAATAAAAATATTTAATACAAATTCTCATAGTATTTTCGAATTCTCATAGAATTCTTGTATCAAACACTGCTGTAGAACTGAAAACTCTCGTATTATTGTTTCACAATGAATGCTTTCATAATGTGATGCTGATGTTTATATAATGATGTATGCAGTTACAAGTAAATTTATGTATTATGCAAAATTGTGTGCTCTCAATACATCTATTTATATATTTGTACTTTACATGTTTTTCTTTTATTATTTTAATAAGGACCTTATTATATGGTTATAGCATTTATTCATTAAAAAATTAAATATATTAAATACTTATTATTATTATTATTTTATATTAGAAAACACGTTATAAAAAATTATTATCTAATAACGTGCGAATAAAACAGGTACATAAATAGTGCATGTGCAGAGAAGGTATTAGTACTTAATTTTTCACATAAAAAATACTTTATAGAAAAATTTATTATACGTTATTTTTATCCTCAAAAAATTTTCAAAATTATCAAAAATGAAAAGTAAAGATATCAAAAAATTTTAAATTACATTATTATAAAATATGTTTAGAATAAAATTTTTATTTAATATTTTTCTATCTTCTCATTGTTTCGACAATATTAGCTTATAATTTCAAAAACTAATTTTATTTAAAGGAGTTTTATCTTTCAACGACTGCGTGAGAGAATAAATAGAGAAATATATATTCCTCTTATTTTAATTTCATCAAAAATCAGTGAGATACCTATAATGCATATACATTTTTTCGTTAGATACTCTTTGATAATATTCTTCCCTATTACTATCCTAATCTAGTCGAATATCTGTTAGACAAAAGTATATAGAGATAGTACCAGTTTTAAATTTTCCAGATTCTAATGACAATTATAATAACTATTTACTGGATTTGTAGTAAAATAATTCCACTAAAATAATTCCACCATTAAGTTTTCCAAAAATAATAAAAAAAACGCCAGCAGCTATCTAAGATAAACTTCCGAAAACCTGATACCTCTGATTTTTCTAGGGCTTGGTATAGTACTGTTTTTGGGTGCGCTGATCAGAAATATCAACATGAAAATCACCGACAAGGTCATCTTCAAGGCCAAACATCGAAAAAATTGTATATTTCCTCAAAAAGTTTTAAAACACAACTTTAATTAGTTTAAATGAAATATCACGCCTAATGGGGGCTGCGACCCCCAACCTCCCCCTGAAAACTAACCTAACCTAACCTAACTCATCCAACATTGTGCTTAGTTCGTGCAAAATACCCATACATTGGCTCCATTTTATATCCAAATCAAATAATAGGGTCTCTGAGCTTCTACACTTATATGAAAATGTGCAGTTTTTGACTTTCGGGTTGCGTTATCATCGTTCGTCGCCACGTGGCCGCCAAAGGAAACATTGCGCTACATTAGCACGACCGCGGCGCGGCGCGGGCACGTCAAATATATCAGGCGATACATTTATGACGTTTTACTCAGAAAATAATTGTTCTACAAAAAAAAATATATAGGACATAAAAGATGTATTTTTTTAAGGGCTATAAGTTTCGTTTAAAGCATTTTTCTGTAAAATTGAAATTTACTGAAATAATGCAGAAAAATATAATTTTTTCGATGTTTGATTTTGAAGATGACCTTGTCGGTGATTTTCATGTTGATATTTCTGATCAGCGCACCCAAAAATAGTACTATACCAAGCCCTAGAAAAATCAGAGGTATCAGGTTTTCGGAAGTACACCTGCTATCTATGTATGAAGGTACCTAATCTCTTTGAAGTACCTTCATCAGACCAGATTCAGATCCGCCTAAACCGTCTACTGTGATACAAGAAATCCGATATCATTCGCAATTTCAGAAAAACCAATAAAGTAAAGAGTTTTCTGTTAAGGTATTCCGACTATTCTTTATCGATTCAGCCGATCAATAAAAAATCACACTGATCTATATACTATAACTGGATAGACTATATGATCTGCAGCGCCTCGAAATGTTTAATTAGGTACTAAACGCTGGATTTTGCCAGTAATAATAGTGAACAGTGAGAGTGATTTGACAAGTGGATATTTATTTTATCTTATAACCTATAAGTAATTTTTTGTGTTCAGTAATATGATTTATATTATAAAATTATATACAAAATCATATTTTATTTTATACTTAAAATGCCTCGTTGTGAATATTGTACAAGAACAACGCCATGACAGTATTTAGTACCTTCCCAGCAAACACAGTATATAAATGTTATATACTTAAGCATGTTACATGTAACGTATATGTTAGTTGTAATTTCCCACTCATAGATGTAATATTTTCAATATTACATATATTACATTGTAGTTATATTGTCATTATATCCCAAGATAGCACTGACTTATCAATACATCAATGTGCTATTTGGTATATAATTACAATATAACTACAATGTAATATATGTTATATTAAAATGTTACATCTATGAGTGGGAAATTACCTCTAACATGGATGTTACATGTAACGTACACGTTATATTACCTGTTATATTCCGTTTTATTATAGCAATGTAACAATTATATATCGGTGTTTGCTGGGTTATTGAACATTCCGAGGCGCTGAGTGAGTTTCAATTTAGAGTACTTTTTTTGGATATAATCTATCCTGTTAGTATATAGATCTGTGAAAAATCAAGATGGACATTTCTCCATTTCCATCGAGTATTTTCGATATTCGGCCTGTTATATTTTCCAATTGCTGAGGTTTCGAAACAAGACGATCGATTGTCTAATAAGAGCCTTATTACAATAGAATCTAGAGTCTAATACGAATACAATAAGCTCGTTTTTTTCTTGTTTTATCAACAATGTAGTTCAGCATAACAGGCAAAATGTTTAAATTTTCTTGATTTTCTATCAATGTTTTTCCATCTTGACAGACTGGATTGATAAAGAATAGTTGAAAGGTTAAGAACTCTCGGCGGAGAGAGATATCTAGCTATTATTAGTTTTTCTGAAATTGCGAGTGATATCGGCACAAGATCGATTGTGTGTAATGAACGGTTCAAGTAAATCTGAATTTGGTTTCGTGGTGATATTTGAGGAGGTTCGTTTATATATAGCGAATTGGCAACAATCAGCTCCATTCATTGTCGAAATTCTAAGAATTCACAGAATTTGAAAAAATTAAAATAAACACTATATAGCCTCTATTCTTGCTCAGCGGATGTTTGGCGCTGGACTGATAATACGGAGGGTATTTGTTATAGCATTTTTATTTTCCTTTTTTACTCTCCATTTTTAATTAAAATGTATGGTTGTAACCTTAAATGGTAGATTAGATTGTCGTGGAATTAACAACACATATATACAACATATAGATGTTGATATCTTTGGTTTACATTAGCATGGTTGTAACCTTAAATGGTAGATTAGATTGTTGTGGAATTAACAACATATATATACAACATATAGATGTTGATATCTTTGGTTTACATTAGCATCGTGACTGGGGTTGCGGTCTGACGGCCGAAGATGAGGCTTCATTGTGGAAACAAGTGTCCAATAATCATGCGCTCAACGCCCTATCCCTTGCCAGGCTAGTACATTACTTTCATCATCATTCTTTAATAAAGAAGTCGTTAATTTGTTACTAGTATCACATGATTGATGTTTCATAATTGTTCACATTTGCAATCTGCGTCTATGTTTTTCGTTTTTCGTTTTAAATTTTACTTTTTATGTATCAAAATCACAAATTTGTATTTTGTCTTTTTACAAACACATTTTTCAAAAATATACTGTAAGAACTTAATTTAAAATTACTCTAGAAACTTTTTCTCAGAAACATATGTGGGTTTGATATTGCAATGCGTTCAGTAACACACTTTGAAAATCAATTATTATGTATATTTTTTACACAACTTATGTCACGATACAATTTATCGTTTCAAAAATCATTCACATGTTTAAAGAGGTGAATCTCTAATGGGATTATATGTTTGTGTGTATGTATACGTGTGCGCGTACGTTCTAGCAACTTGAAATCTTACTGACAGATATAGAACAGATAGAAATGCATCAAATATCTTGCTATCAGACTACATGTATTTACCTTCGTTTGTATCCATCGTGTAATTTTAAATATTGTTTACTACGTATTTGTGTCATTCACAAAGAAAGAACGAAAGCAATCACGATCTTGTAAAAAAAACTCACAGATGAGCTCGCACCTTCACACTGATTTCGTCGTAGTTAGCTAACTTATTTCGATTCAAGTGTAATCGATAATTGATTTGATATGATTATCATATCAATGGCTTTTCGATTGACTCTTTAGGTCAGTTACCAAAGAGGAGAAGGAGAAGGAGAACAGGAAGGTTGCACCAATTGCCAATATGATCGCCACAATGCCACCGGCGGGGCGACCCTCTTCGGTGCAAGCTAGACCGGTACATGGTATATTGCAGGACGATACTAAAGCGGTATGCAAATTTCCTATTGAGTATGTTTTTAAAAAATCTATTTTGATCAAATATTGTCAGAATATTTTAAGAGAAAGCAACCTTCTTTTTGTTTTTTTTAAATATTTGAGTGTTTTACTTTTGCTAATTTATGCTTAGGTCGGTATTCATAGTCCGATCTTACATTTAAGATCGTCTAAAGTCTGGTCGGAGATTGACTTAAGAAGATTTTAAATATAATATCGGACTATAAATACCGGCCTTAGAATATATAAACTTAGAATATATATGGGATTTGTTCTTTATTGCTGCATTGGTGAACTAGTGCACACTGTTGCAATAAGTTAAAGTAAGACAAATATATTCTGTTTTACTCTAACTTACTGCACTAGTTCACCAATGTAGCAATAAAGAACAAACCCATGAAATGAGAATATTGAAACTCTATTCTATGTCCAAGATCTGTCCAAGAAAGAAAGATAACGGATTTGTTCTTTATTGCTGTACTGGTGAACCAGTGCACACTGGTGCAGTAAATTATAGGGTTTGTTCTTTGTTGCTGCACTGATAAACTAGTGCACACTAGTGCAATAAGTTAGAGTGAAACAACATATATTTATCTCACTTTAACTTATTGCACTAGTGTGCACTAGTTCATCAGTGCAGCAATAAAAAACAAACCCATAGAGTAAAACAGGTCTGATTAGGTTTGTTCTTCATTGCTGCACTGGTGAACTGATGCAGTAAGTTAGAGTGAAACAAAATATACTTGTCTCACTTAAATTTATTGCACCAGTTCACCAATACAGCAACAAAGAACAAATCCTTTGTTTTCGCTGAATTGGCTGCACTAGTTCAGAGTTTATCTTTTTTACTCGACATTGAAAGAAAAAAGAGAAACTCTGAACTAGTGCAGCCAGTTCAGCTAAAACAAACAGATCTAAAAGGTTCATTTTACTATTGCTACACTGGTAAACTAGTGCATATTGTTGCACAATAGTGCAATAAGTTAAAGTGAGACAAGCATATATTTTGTTTCACTGTAACTACTACACCAGTGTGCGTTAGTTCAGCAATAAAGAACAAATCTAAAATATACTTATCTCATTTTAACTTATTACACCAGTGTGCACTAGTTCATCAGCGTAGCAATAAAGAACAAAAACTCAATGACTACGAATCCTCTACAATGCGCCATAATTTTTATTCGTCTAGTAGGTGTTTTTAAGTTTCTTATTTGTGTCATTTATTTAAGATTATGTCAACTCTTGCCTTTCTCTTACCAAATTAACAATAGGTGACTATAACAGATGACAATATTAGCTGTTGCGCATTGCGGATGATTGATAGTTATTATCTCTTTTTTTTTTCTCGCACCAATCTTGGACACAGACTCGTTCCACGGGAGGTATAGGCAATTCTTCTTTCATGTATATATAGGTTATATCTAAAAAGTTATGGAAGATATTTTAAAACGATTATTTTGTTTATGATCATTTTTGCAACTCTTATTTTTTAAAAAATTACCAAAACAATCAATTTTTCTGAAAGAGAAGTATAAAACTTTATGTATATAGATATAAATTTAAAACGGGATTTATTAATGAGGCGCTTTATTAAATGTATAAAATCAATGGGGAAGAGAGTATTTACAATATTTTTATAGAGAAAACTTATATAATTTTTATATATTTAAGTAAGTTATTTAATTGTAAATGTTGAAAAATCATTATATTGAAGTGTAGAAAGATTATATAAAAAGATTAACTTAATTTTTGTAATCTATCTTTAGAAATCAAGTTAACATACATAAAATTCCGATTTAAATTTGAATTATTTTTATAAGTAATATTACTATATTAATCTATAATTTTATAATGAATGGTCAAAAGATATGTACGTACATAGTTTTCTATTTTTTTAAGATTATTTTCAACTTTGTCATAGGATAATGATCGAGCCATTGCTCGCGCAAGAAAGGATTTCTTGATCCGCCATCATCTTGATCGTACTACGGGTGTGGGTACGTGTTAATAATTTAGTTAAATTAATTAATTTAAAAATTATATAAATAATAATATAATAATATTTAATTATATTAATGATTATTATTATCACAGACAATCCATATTTAGGATGTTTCCTCAAAATTTAATACGATTATATTTCTCATCGAAAAAATAAGTATATTTTTCCTTTTGCAAAACTGAAAATATATACCTTTTTTAAGATGTGATAATTTTTAATTATCAAAATTGAGTTAATATATGTATAAATAATATATGTATAAACCCTTTTAACAACCTTTCTCCTAAAAAATGTGTTTTTGGATTAATGTTTATGGGAACTTTTTTCATTCTTATGACGAGCCCAATTCAATCCCTGATTTTGACCAATTATTTCAGGACTACCCTATATATATATATATATATATATATATATATATGTATATACCTATATACATATTTGTTCTCTTTAAAATGTTAAATTTTTAAATATTATCTTAAAGCAAATTTAAGAAAAATTTTATTCTGTCAAGGTGACGGTGCACTTCTTCCCTCTCCGACACGAGAGAAGTTGGAGCCTGTGATCCCACGTCGACGCGACGATATCAAGGAGCATCGAGACGAGATTCAGCCGCGAACTAAATCTAGTCCGAAGAACAGTCCGAAAACCGGACGCTCGCAGAGTCTTGGACCGACTGTCACCGATCGTAGATCACCTAAACGTCAACCTACGCGTGCACCGTCCGTTACTAAGGACGCCAAGGTATGTTATTTATAAAATATAAATACAAATTTTTGAATTATTAAGCATTATAATAAATTTAATCTGCTATGTAGCAATAATAAAGTAACTTAGATTATTGGATTTTAATTACGGCTAAGAGCTATTGAGTTTTAATAAACTTGATCGATAGTCTTGAGTCAGTGATTATAAATGGAAAAAAATTACACGCATTATTAAATATCTTTTATTGTACAAAAGATATTTAATATATAATGATTAGTTTAATAAAAAAAAGGCTTTTTTGTACAAGGAATCGTTATTTTATAGTCTATTCTTCAAATGTCATTTCTATAAAAATTATAATTTACAAGGAAATGTGCCAATTGAATTCAAAATTTAATTTTTATATATCGTTCTCGCAAAAGTTATATAAAAAATATTGCAAAAAAGATAAAAATTTTAAAAACTTATTAAAAAAATATTTGGCCTTGTTAATTGTACCGAAGTAACATCCCAGCAAACACCGGTATATAATTGTTACATTGCTATAATAAAACGGAATATAACAGGTAATATAACGTGTACGTTACATGTAACATCCATGTTAGAGTTAATTTCCCACTCATAGATGTAACATTTTAATATAACATATATTACATTGTAGTTATATTGTAATTATATACCAAATAGCACATTGATGTATTGATAAGTCAGTGCTATCTTGGGGATATAATGACAATATAACTACAATGTAATATATGTAATATTGAAAATATTACATCTATGAGTGGGAAATTACAACTAACATATACGTTACATGTAACATGCTTAAGTATATAACATTTATATACTGTGTTTGCTGGGATAATACAATCATAAAAGTTATTTAAGATGCATATGCAGATTAAAAATATGTGTAACTAAACAAAGATATACGAAGCACACCATCAGGTGCAAAACGACAAACTAAATCAAAAGTCCTGAGCCATTTTTTAATCTGAGGTTTAGTTTTGACGCTATAAATTGTTAAAGTTTGTCAATTAGCGCGTGGCTACAACAGAAAACAGCGTAGGCGCCGCCTTAGTAGGCGTACTAAGATCTACTAAGGCAGCGCCTACGCTGTTTTCCGTTGTAGCTACGCGCTAATTGGCAAACTTTAACAATTTATAGTGTCAAAAAATAAAGCTCTGATTAAAAAATGACTCAGCACTTTTCAATTAAGTTTGTCGTCCTGCACCTGATGGTATGCTTCGTATATCTTTGTTTAGTTACTCTCTATATATCTTAAAATTCGACGTTATTATTCCTAAAATAATATTAATTTTATTTTATGAGTTTATTTAAATAGATAAAACTGCGATTTTTTATATTGCATCAACCTATATCAAAAAATTTGCTTTTGTTTTATCAAGGAGAAGGAGAAAGAGACGAAGGATAAGGAGCAGAGAGAGAAAAGCAACGAACGCGAAAGGCATCCACGACCAAGTAAGTAACATGAACCGAATGATAATTATCTTACCTTAGCTATATATCAAAGGTACTATCAGCCGATTTCCATTATCCCGGAAGATTGTAATCCCAAATTGATTGAAGCTCGTAATTTGTCAGTCGAATCCCCTTTGCATTTTTGTGCATAAACTGGATTTAGAAATAGAGTATATATATATTTATTTATATTGTATACAACTTTTTCGATTGCTGTCTGCTCTTGTGGGCCTCGAAAGCCGAACGTTATATAATTCGTCGTATATACATAATTATATATATTTGTATACAAAATGTACGCCAAAGATGCTCACCGCTCGCGAGATTTATATATAATATATATAGCTGTTTTTATTTAACAAAATGCATTTTGTTAAACTTAAAAAATGACAGTATAAATATTAACAAAAAGGGATTTCTAACTTCCATGACCTTAACGTATGTAATTAAGATCACGACTTTATGTAACTTTTGAAATATTTTAACCGTCGCTTGTTATTTATTAAAAAATTATTAACAAATCACGTTTTATCAAAGTAAACTCACAATGAAAATTTTAATATTAAATTTATATGTATATACATTATACGGTCAATATTAACATTTTCTTTGAGATTTATATAACTTTTCCATTTGTTAATACTTTTTCAATAAGCAATGAGTGACGATTAAAAATCTATCAATGGTCGTAATCTTGATAATATATGTCAAACTTATTCGAGTTGAATCCTCTTTCGTCAATATTTAACTAAGAAGTAATGAAAAGTAGAGGTATCAATTTGAATGGTTTTCAGCCCGAATACCAAATTATTTAAGATGAATTTTATTTATAACTCTAATAAATATATATTTTTAATTGACATAAAAACTAAAAATTTTAAAAACTTTTATAGTTATATATCTGTTATAATATCAGAACGGGCCGAAAATCGTTCAAATTGATATCCTATTTTTATTTTTCAATTCATTTAAAAGCTTAAATAAGTTAAATATGATTTAAATTTTAAAACTGCTAAGGAGGAAGCATTTGATTATATATATATATATATATATATATATATATTAGGGTGGTTGTTATATAGGTTTTTTCAGAATTTTAATGTTGGATGGTCGTAAATCAGCTCTAAATGTAGAAAAAAAAAAATCTCTAATTTTTTCAGATTTTTATTTTGAGTCCTGAGTCTCCCTGTTGGCATGTAATTTTATTAATACCACAGTTCTGCAGCTGCTTCTGTCATCAATTGTTGTTGTAAATAGTTTGAAATTTTAATGAAAAAAAGTTGAAACTATTTGAAAATACCGAAAATATAGTATAAAATAATATAAAATAGTTAAATAATATAAATATAATATAAAATAGTTAAAGGATACGGAACAGCATCGCGTTACAGATGCACCGTCCCTGAGAGCGGCGCGCCTTAGTTACGATTATTAAACAACGCGTTGCTAAGATCTCGAGCGTGAGTGGAGGCCGCTAGGCAGTGACTCTCAGAAATCGGCCGAAAAGATTTGGACAGGTTTGCATTATGGCATCAGGCTCAGATACGATTGAAAATAGGTTTCTAGTCGGCGTGCTGGAATCTTCGATCAACTACCTTCAAACGGACAGGTTTTGAGAGTGTTATTTTATAATATGGTTTATAAATCCTCAGAAAAAATTACGAGTGAGTGCTAAGTCCGTCATAGAACAAGTAAAAGTGTTCTGGGAAAGAGCTCGGTTGCCTGTAAAATATGACGCCAGGTGCATTGACAAATTGGTAGCTCTTCATTCACAGTGGTCTAATATACAAAAAAAATGCCGGAAAATCATGGAATCTCGGAAAGGAACAAGCATTCTCTGTTCAACTTAAAAATTTATTTAATATCGCCGACGTCACTGTTATAGAGTCGAAAAAAATTAATCAAAAAAGCAAAGAGTTTCTTACGAACCAACGTAGAGATAGTTGTGTGGGTTTCATTAGTGAGATCGAGAGATATTTTGAACAAATCGATCGTAAAGAAAACGAAAAAAAAAGAACTCATGGCTCGGAGGTTTGAAAAAAGTAAAATGGACATCGATTTATTGGGTAAGATAATTTCCTATGTTATAAAATAATACTTGATCGTTCATGTTATCTCGAAAAGCAAAGTATCCAGTTCATTTTTTATATGAAAATAATCATCGATGAATTATTAAAAACATCTTTTGCAATTCTATTCTTATTATTTTTTATCCTTTGTTTGAGATCCTTAGTTTCATTCGTATGAAATTATTTCTGTTTATTCCAGATGATTTTATAGAGTTAGCATCGAGTGAGGACACTGAGGATAGATTTTTCCAGCTCTTAAGTCAAAAAAGCGTCAGAGGTTATTCAAATGTTTCGTTAGAAGACAATAGCGAAAAGAGTGAAGCTGGACCATCGGCTCCAAAAAAATCTCGGAGATCTATTAATATTTTCAGTAATCCTAAAGTTGTTGCTGCTCTTGACAGGTGTAAAGTGAGTGACAGTGAGAGACATACTGTTCATCTTGTTGGTGCTATAGCTGAAGCATTGAATATTGATATGGATTCGCTAAGACTCAATCGAACATCAATTCGAATTCATCGACAAAAAATACGTGAAGATCAGTCCAAACAAATAAAAAAAGTTTTCCAGGCTACTGCATTAAAGGCTTGTTCTTCATTGAGATGGAAAACTTTTGTACAATTTGCTCAAAAAGGAAATGATTGACAGACTACCGGTTGTCGCATTAAATGGTAAGATTGAGAAACTTCTTGGTGTTCCAGTGGCAAAAGATGGCAAAGGGGTAAATCAAGCACATGCAATTTATGAAGTTCTTGAAGATTGGGGGCTTCATAACTCTGTGAAGGCTTTTTGCTGCGATACGACGGCATCAAATTTAGGCATAAAGAATGGTGCTGCTTTTAGAGCACCTACTGAAATAAAATATTCTGTTTCTGCCCTGCAGGCATCATATTTTTGAATTAATTCTTCGGTGTGTATTTGAAAAGAAAATGCCTGGAACAACTGGACCAAATGTTCCACTTTTTCTGAAGTTTCGTAATTCTTGGAAAAACATTGATAAAACAAAGTATCAAACTGGATTGGAAGATAAAATAGTTCAACGCTATCTATCATCAGTGAGAATCGATGAAATAAGATCATTTGTAGAAGATTCATTACAATATCTTCAACCCAGAGACGACTACAAAGAATTTCTTCAGCTCACTCTCATTTTTCTTGGTTCAGTTCCATCAAATAATATTTCCTTTCGTCACCCTGGAGCTTTTCATCATGCACGATGGATGGCGAAAGGAATATATTGCTTAAAAATATTTATTTTTCGAGCTGAGTTTGAAATGACTAGCGTAGAAATCAAAGCAATTCGTGATATATCGCTTTTTATTGTAATGCTCTACGTCGAGGCTTGGTTCACTTGTACAGTCACGACAAAAGCACCAAACCACGATCTTCGTTTCCTGAAAAACCTGTATGATTATCGTTTGATCGACGAAGAAATTTCAACAGTTACTCTCCAAAAGTTCCGAAATCACTTATGGTATTTGAATCCAGAATGTGCTGCAATTTCGTTTTTCGACGAGTCAATGTTACTTGAGGTTAAAAGAAAAATGGTATTAAAATTAGATCCTATAGAAGATATTGATAATTGTTATCCAAAACGGATACAAATGAATCACGACATTGTCAGTTTCTGTGGAAAGCAAATGGATTACTTTACCACCCCTCAATCGAGAAATTTCTTTCTCAAATTTGAAATTAATGACGAATTTTTAAAGATAGATCCAGTTCTTTGGGACCAGAATGCAAATTATCAACGAAGCTTAAATATTGTGAAACATTTGAAGGTAGTAAATGATGTGGCAGAAAGAGGGGTTCATTTGTTTTCTGAATACAACGATCTTTTGACGAGAAACGAAGACCAAAAAATGTTCGTGTTACAAATTGTCTCTGAATACCGAAAAAGGTTTCCTGATGCAAAAAAAGAGACGATTATGAAACATTTTTAATTCTGTATGATCGACTTTCTTTTTATACTTTGAATAAATACAATTATACAGTACAATAATATTCCTTGAAACTTTGCGACTTTTAGTTTTTTAGATTTTTTAAAATTTCTTAACCATTGAATATTGATTTCCTTGAATTGTTTTTCTAAAAAAAATTATCTAAAATTTGCGCTTAATTATTGAGCACTGGACTGAAATTCCCTACACATCTTTTTCCTATATAATTGAAAATAACGACGATTTAAAGTTCAAGGAAGATTAAAAAAAATATAAAATACGTCGTTATATATTTGAAAAATGGATAAAAAATAATTAACTGAATTACAAACACCCACGACTTGTGCGGAATAACCCATATAATATTTATGACTATCTTTTATGAAAAATTAAATAATTTTGTTTACTACTTTTGTACCTGACTCCATCTAGAACTGAAGTAAATTAAGTATTTTTTCAAATTATAAAAAATATAATATAAATAATATTTAAATAACATATAAATGAATAAATAAATGAACTGATATAAGAATATAACATAACATGTGTAAGACTTAAGGCTGAAAATAAAAATCTGAAAAATTAGAGAATTATTTTTTCTACATTTGGAGCTGATTTATGACCATCCAACATGATGTTCAATTTAACGACCACTCTAATATATATACATATATATACATATATATATATATATATATATATATATGTTATATATATATGTATGTATGTATATAATCAAATATAATATATATCTTTTTTTATTTTTGTTAAGAATATATTTTGTGAAGTATATTCGCACAAAAATATTTGCTATGCGGTGAATGTCAGTTATTCATAATTGTCTCATCATTAATGTTTAGGCAGATGCATGATAATCCTATCTACTTGTCTCTATCTCTTTGCCTTTGCCTTTAAGACTCTCATTTAGTAATCAGTAGTTATATCGATAGACTGTATGAAGCCTATCGTGCGATGTATTTTTCGCCTCTATCGCCTTTTATAATTAAACAAGCAAAATTGTTTCTTATTTTATACGTGAATCGTGATAATAGGCACCTATATCGACACCATTATTCATGAACGCATCTTATTACATATCTGTGTCATTTCATATAATATATATTTATCAAAAAGATATATTAAGAAAAACAATAAAGAAAGATAATAAAGGTTATATGGGGGATACAGGTAAATTAATTATAAATTAATAATATATACTCTTCAAAATACATAAATGTAAATATTTTTAGAACTTTAATCCAGCGTATTAAATAAAATATATTGATAAAATTAATCGATTAAAAAAATAAGAAATAAGAATAAAAAAGAAAATATAGTCATTTACACTTTTTTAACAATGCGAATTTATAATGAATGTTTTATGATTTATGTTATATAATTTTATGTAAAAATAAAATCGTATGGTATTGATGTGCAAAATATAATAAGAAAATTTAATATAATTATATTTAATATTATTTGATCATAATTACGCTCCTTCGATAATATTTATTTTTTTTTATTTTCCTTTTTATGAATATAGATGTTCGATCTTATTGCGATATTAAATATATATAAAATATTCCTAAAATATTCTGTGTCATATAAGTGATCTGGCATTACTTTTTATAACTCATTAATTTTAATGAACTACAATATATACTAACTCGTAAAATAAAATAAGTCATCAAACTAACACAATTTTTTGATATCTTGGAATTGCGATAGCTCCGTAAAAAGTATCGTATTGAGATAAATCAAAATTTAAATTAAAATTTGAACATTTCTCAGAAATCAGAAAAATTTTTTTTTAATTTTTGCGTAGTTCAAGGGAATCGGTTCCCCGGTTCAAAAATCTATGAATTTTTAAGCTCATTAATTTTGTAACAAATTTATATTTCAACATTTTTCTACAATTTTTTATGATGAAGTTATATTAGTTTGAAGAAAATGTTATAAAATAAACTTGTAAAATCTGCATTTCAGGAAGAAATTATTAAATCTTTTTTTAAAAAGAAAATTAAAGTATAAACTTTCTAAATCTTGAAACCTTTTCACAATAATAAACAATAATAAATAAACAAAAAGTTTGCCAATAATGAACATTTGTGTTTAATTTACAATGACAATAATGTAAAATTTAATCAAATAATCCTAAACAAGCGTATCATGAATACATATAAACAAACCCACATAGCATAGAATGTCCTGGATATTCATTTTATATCTATTTTAGATATCCATGGATTTAAAATGGATATAAAATAAACATCTATGGTATATCTAATTTGAGACATTCATTAGTAATTAGTAGATCAAATTTAGATATTCATAAAATATCCAGTCTTGGACATCCAATCCCATATAACATAAGATTTCTGTAGAATATCTTTATTTGATCGAAATTATCTCAAATATATATATTTATAATAAATCAGATTAAATTTTCTTGAGGATTACCTAAGGATATCCTTTACAACACAAAATATTGCTAAAATATTGCATAAATATTTCCATATTCCGCCATATTACAAATATTGCAGCAATATTATACAAATATTATAAGTTAATATTTTATTAGAGATATTGCAAAATATTATTACTATCTTTTATCACATCTCTAATAGCACAATATATCCGAAGGATATTCAGAGGATAGCTAGATAATCCTCTCAACATATTCTGAATGTCTTCTGAACGTCTTTCGGATATGTGTGTTGTTAGAGATAGTTCTTTCATTTACCGCTATGCGCCGCACGTGAAGTTATCTATCTCGCATTTAAGTTTCAGTCATGAGATTATATAAATATGCAAAAAGCGGCTATTAGAACTATTTATTTTTATAAGTTTAATTGTATCTGAACCTAACACAGGGAACTTAGATATTAAAGTAATTGTTCAGAAATGTCGGACAAATAAATGAAGAATTAAATAAGAAATATTCTGCCATATTTTTTTAATATTATATTCACATTTGTAGAAATATATCAACAAATTCGTAGAGATTGTAGGAGTTAACCTATACAATTACTGCATATCGATCAATCTAATTGTAAGATATCAAAAAAGGCATATGGAAACATTCAAGGTCCGTAGATGAACGATGGGAGGGGAAGTAAGATCATCACATTCATATTTCAGCATTTGGGCTCCAAATGGTGCCGCTATTCTAGCCATCGGACAGACAGCTGTTCAACTACAGTTTTTTTTTTTTATTAACACTTCGTACGACACACATCGACATATAACACACATAACTTTGTGGCCTCAAAATGACGGCTCATGCGAGTACCTTCCTTCCCCTCCTGTCGTTCATCTACGGACCTTGGAAACATCGAGTGCATAATTCGATCCCAACAATATCCATGCGGATATTGTTGAGATCGAATTTTGTTATGTAATTATAATTCTAAGGATATCCATTTTTGGATCACTGATAATCTCATAAACGAACATAGAGATATCCTCAGTGTATCCTAAATACATTCTCAGGATTTATACGGATGTACACTGGATATCTATCTGAAAATCCCTTGAGATATATCCAATGGACATACCTCGGATTAACTTTTGCTATGTGGGAATGCATATTTTAAAAAATTACTCCCGTTTTTCCGAAAAATGTAATTACAAAACCAATAGCTTATGTATATTTTATTATTATTGTTAATTGATTATTATTATCATCACATAAATCATCTTCCTATTTTCTCAAAACAATCTCTCTCTTCATTTTTATATACGTCTGCGCTCATTATTGCACTTTGTTATTATCATCATATTATTATTAACATATTATAACCATCTCTTATGTCTTATATCATGCTTTCTCAACTAAAACTTTTCGAATTATGTATAGCCCCTTGTACAATGCCAGGCAACAGGCAATAGAAATAAGAAAAAGAAAATATCAACCAATCGGAAAAGGAAATAGATATTATTCTCTGCTCCTATTGGTGGATATTTTCTATTTCTTATTCCTATTGCCTGTTGCCTGACATTATGTAAGAGGCTTATCTTCTTTGCAAACCCTGTTTTTTTTTCTCATGTGAATTTGTGATTGGGGAGCTCCATTAACTTAGCCGGTCAACTTTGACTTTTTTAATTTTTTTTTTTTAATTGTTTGTTGGTCGTTTGTTGGTGATTGTTGGCCTAATTGCAACGTTTGTTAATTTCTATTTTTTTTAATTAAAAAAGAAAAATTAGCATTAAGTTAGCCGGAAAAATCTCATTTTTAATTAAAAAACGGTCTTATCGATGCGTAATTGTTTGTCGATGATTGTTGATCTAATTTTATCATTTGTTGGTTTATTATTAGTCTTAAAAACGAAAAATTATCACATTGAGGCCGCATCTACAGAAATCGAATATTATGATTTTGGTTTATTGCTTACGATTTAAGGCTTATTTCTATAAATGTAAGGCTAACAGGCTATGAATACCTTAACATCGGCAGGAAATTGAAAATATTTATTTCCTTCTCTAATAGTAAGTTGAAATGATAAATTGCAAAATGTGAGATATTTATTGGACAAAAAATAAACTTGTATATATATTTTTTTGTAATTTTGAAGCTTTTAGATCTGTATTACATATATCATTTATAATACGCTATAGTTAAAATATGAATTCAGCATTAATAGTTATAAAAAAAATATTTTGGCAAATTTATACATATTAATTATATACTTGGTAAGGATCCTTGAAGTTTTTAGATCTGTATTATATATCATTAATTTAATGCTAGTCAAAATATAAATTCAGCATAAATAATTACAAGAAAAATATTGTTTGACAGATTTATACATATACAGGGTTTGTCCGGAAAGTAATGCGTCGCATTTTTTTGTGACGCGACTATACATCGCAGAGCGATGGGACCGGTTGGGGAGGAAGGGGGGTACCCTTAGCTTTCCAACGGTAGGTCGCTCAATTGTTTCCATGCGCTTGGAGGGTTAGGACGGCTTATTCTGTGAACCTCTGCTTAGTGGTCGCGTCGAACTTGTGATGGAGAGAACGATAGAGCAACGCTATGCGATAAAGTTTTGCGTGAAGCTGGACAAGACGCCGCTGGAAACTTTTGAAATGCTCAAGAAAGTTTTCGGGGACGATTGCCTTTCCAAATCGCAGTCAAACAGATGGCACAAGATGTTTAGAGAAGGTCGGAAGGAGGTCGCCGACGAGGCCCGCGCAGGACGCCCGTCAACATCGCGAACGGACGACAATGTGACTCGTGTGCGCCAATTATTGAATTCAGACCGTCGAATGAATGTTCGCTTAATGTCGGAATTATTGAACTTGCCGAAAACGATTGTTCACGAGATTGTATCGGAAGACTTGGCCATGCGGAAGATTTGCGCAAAACTTGTGCCCAGAGTGTTGACCGATGCGCAAAAGCAACACCGAGTGGAAGTTTGTGAAGAACTCAAGCAACTCTGTGCAGATAATCCCAATTTCTTTTTTTTATTTCCTCGGCTGAAAAGGGAGCTCAAAGGACAACAGCTCGAGTCGGTTGACAACGTACAAGCTACTTCGACGGCCTCCCTGAACAGCATCCCAGTCAAGGAGTTCCAGAAATCTTATGACGCATGGAAATCGCGTTGGCAAAAATGTATTGACGCAGAAGGGTCATACTTCGAACAATTTTAAGTTGTTTTACCTATGCGATCAATAAATTCTTTTTTAAAAAAATGCGACGCATTACTTTCCGGACAAACCCTGTATAATAATTATATACTTGGTAAGGATCCTTACCAAGTATAATTATTATGTATAAATCTGTCAAAATATTTTTCTTATAATTATTCATGTTGAATTTATATTTTGACTAACATATTGAATTGATGATATATAATACAGATTTAAAAACTTCAAGATTACAAAAAGATATAAATACAAGTTTATTCTTTGTCTAATAAATATCTCACATTTTGCAATTTCTCACTTCAACTTACTATTAGAAAAGAAAATAAATATTTTCAATAAAAATAAGCCTTAAATCGTAAGCAATAAACCAAAATCATAATATTAAATTTCTGTAGATGCGACCTCAATGTGATAATTTTTCGTTTTTAAGACTAATAATAAACCAACAAACGATAAATTAGACCAACAATCATCAACAAACGATTACGTATTGATTAGATCATTTTTTAATTAAAAATGAGATTTTTCCGGCTAACTTAATGCTAATTTTCCTTTTTTAATTAAAAAATATATATATAAACCAACAAACGTTGCAATTAGTCCAACAATCACCAACAAACGACCAACAAACGATTAAAAAAAATTTTTTAAGTCGAAGTTGACTGGCTAAGTTAATGAAGCTTGATTGGGGTTAGGTATTGTTATTGGTTAAGGGCTATTCTACAATAGGTTGCAAATATCCTCGTTGCTAGTTGACAATTGCCGATTGACCAATCAGAGCAAAGCAACTTGTCAGCTGATTGGTTAATCCGCAACTATCAACCAGCTACAAAGATATTTGCAACCTATTGTAGAATAGCCCTTAGTGTAGCAGTTGGTATTCATTCATAGCAGACTCAGGCCAATGTCCTTGTTAAAGCATACAGAAACTTATGATTTCTCGATGATTGACTTACTGAACAGATATACATATAAATGGAAAGGGAATTAAGTACTAACAAGGCCGATGGCAGAGAACTAAACGTAAGCACTTACGTCTACCGTAGTCATACTGCCGTACTTCGCGACACGACTTAAGCTAGTCGCACACACTTTTCGTAAGACCATAACAGTAAAGTTTCGACCAATCGCGTTCCGTAAAACGTAACAGTAGCAGTAGAATTCCAACATGTTGAAATTTCGATTAGTCGAAACCTTATTGTTACGTCTTACGGAAAGTGTGTGCGAACAGCTTTACGTAGTTACGTCTTTTTTCTGTCTTATTTTATGTCTACGACTACGACAGACATAAGCGCTTACGTTTAGTTCTCTGCCATTGGCCTGAACCTGTGTTCAACATCGAGAAAGAAAGATAGTCTTAATCATCTGCAATGCGCATGCGCCAATATTATCATAGGTTTTTCATGATTATACGGAGGAAAAGAATACTCTGTTACGTCAATTCTCCTTTTCTCGCCACACTAAAGCGGAGAGCACACACGTTTGCATAGACGCATAAGCGTAAGCATAAAAATCTTGATTGGTCTATGAACGTATGCATAAGAAATTTAACCAATCGAATTTTTTATGCATATGCTTATGCGCTTATGCAAGAGTGTGTGCTCCCCGCTTAAAGTTATACATTCGAGAACTGCGCTCTTAGTTAGCACTAAAATGTTGTTCTTTGTTACGAAAAAGTGAACAAGAACAGAACACATTCAGAGTATTAAGAGCGTATTTTTGAACGCAATCTAATAATAATAATAGGTAATCATAAAAGAAGAATATGATATCTGCGTACTACTTTTCTTTTTCGCATCAATGTTAAACACAGGACACAGACTCGTTCCAAAGTGTAGACAATTTCCTTTTCATTATTTATACATGTTCTAAGATTGACATCGCCTATATCGTCGTTATTGCTGCCATCCTCGGACGCAGAATCTGTTTCCAAAAGGAAACCTACCTTTTGCAAGTCACATATTGCAAATGTATATATATTTATTATACCATTTACTTACCTATAGTCATATATACCTATTGTCCGCTTGTCCTATATATTTGTTCGATATTATTTTCATAATTATTGCATATCAAAGAATTTAATATGCCATTCTCAATCTTTTTCATTCATTTAAGTATGTTAATTTTATTTAATTTGTATTATATTTTTAAATATGTGTAATTTATTTTTGAAGTATGTTATATTTATTTTCATTATTCTATTATGATTTATGAAAAAGTATAATTATAAATAAACCTCTAAAATATTTGTTTTATTTCTAATATATATATTAGCTTTAAAATATTTTAATATTTTGTTTTTAATATTTGTTATTTTACAATATTTACATTTTGAAATTTAGCGCTTTATCCAACTGAGAATATGGCGATATGGCATGTGAATCCACAGCATCAAAAGTGTCGACGCTTAACTACTGTCGTAAATTGGTTAAACTGATTTCGCTTAGTTTTGCCGCATAAGGACAAGCGAACAACAGAACGCGTGTACAACAATATATTATATCGTAATAATGTTTTATTACGATATAAACATCGTTGTAACATTAGATAAAACTATATGGTATATTATTACAATTTATTTCCATATAAATAATTTGTTTTATTATTTTACTATGTTATATTATTGCAACAACAGTATTTATGTTTGATAAAACAATATTATTATAAAAAGAAAACTATCCTATTCTACAACATATTATAAATAAGAAAACTATCCTATTCTACAACATATATCGTCTTAAGAGAATTATAAATGAAGAATTCACATCTATAATCAGTTCTATCGCCTAATGTCATTTTTACATGTACATTTTTAATATACAGCATAATTAATATATATAATAATATAAATACAGCTTGTGGTATTATATACATATAATAAACATAGTACTTGAAACTTTGAAGAAATCAAATAATTATTGATAAAATTAAACTATATCAAGCTATAGTTGAATAAAAATAAATATAATAAGATACTAGATTTTTACATAATTTTTTTACAAATAAAATTAATTTTATATTTTTTGGAAAGCTTTTTTTTAATTTCGCGAAAATAAATACACATCAAAGATATGCTAGATTTGAAATGCGCATCAAAGTCAAATCGTAGTAGTGAAGCAAGCTCGGCAAGTTTATATGTACCCCCACCATACTCCCATCCCTATGATTTGATTTAATGCACGTCTCAAATCTAGCATCACTGCATCAAAAACCATGGGTTTGTTCTCTATTGTTGCATACTGCAATAAGTTAAAGTGAGACAAGTATATTTTGTTTCACTCTACTTACTGCACCAGTGTACACTAATGCAGCAATAAAGCAACAAAACCCCATGTTTTAACTTTTGTCAGAGCTAGACAGAACTAGGCAAGTTTACGTGAGCGCGCAAGAAACGGCTCGGAGCTTTTCATCAATTGTACTGTTTCTTGTACGATATGTTTTAGCCTTCCTCGCGACCACCGCCCTTCCCCATCGCCCTCTTCATCATGCCAAACCCACAACCACCATCATCACCAACACCACCACTACTGTCACTACTACCGCTAACAGTACTAGCGCAAGTATCGCCCCGGTAAAACGTTCCCCGGTAAAGCATTCGGTTCATACGACCGTCCATCACCCACCTACGTCGAGTGCTGCCGCTGCGGCCAGGCCGGAGCGCGGCGTTAAAGATTTAAGCCAAAGGTGCCGGAGTGCGAATGACGAGGTTCAGGCAAAATTGGCCCGCGGGCATCCAGCAGCTGCGGCTGCAGCCGCAGCCAGTAATGATCCATCATCCAAATCATCCCTCGATACGCGATCCGCATCAAATCAAGCCGCTACCGCCGTCGTCCGAGCTAGTAAGTAGCATGTTGTCGTGGTTTCGGTTTATAGTATTTCACTCTTTTTTTTAAACGTTGTTCAGTCATTAATCAGCATCTTTGCTTCGTGTGCTCGCTGTGTATCTATATCTGTATAGGTGTAATCTTTTCGTGCAGGATATATCCCTGATTACACTGTTCCATAAAAAAAAAACATTGGCACAAAACTAGTCATTTCTTATAGTTTTTTGGACGCTGATCATAAATCTGTCTTCGAAATTGCTTTAACACGTCACAATTTTAAGAAATTTGCAATTAAAGTTGCAAAAAAGGGCTATTTTCACGCACTTTGTCATATTATAGCTACAATATGCGACGTGCTAATGAAGTTTTCTTGCTACCAAAACAAAGTATATTGTTAGGACTTTCCACCCTTAATAGGAATTTTTTATATCGGTTACAATTCATAAGATATTTATAGTTGAATATGGGGTATTGCAGAAGTTAGAGCTGATTAAATATAAGTAACTTATTTCTTAAGTTGACGAGTTACAAAGAGTTTTAAATTATGTTTATTTATTCTTAAAAATCTTTTAGGTCACTGAACACGAATCCAATGTCAAAATTGTCAAAATAATGAACTCAATATGGAGGATTTATAAAAAAAATTTTTTAATTTTTAAATCCCCCATATTGAGTATCATTTTGAATTTGACAATTTTGACATTGATTTTGCATTCAGTGACCTAAAAAACTTTTAAAAATAATTAAACATAATATAAAACTGTTTGTAACTCGTCAACCTAAGTAAGTCATAGCTAATATCTGCAATATTCCATATTCAACTATTGATATCTTACGAACCATAATCGACACCAAAAATTTCTATTGAAAGTTAAAAGTCCTACCAATATATCATATTTTGGTGGCAAGAAAACTTCTTTAGCACATCGCATATTGTAGTTATAATATTACAAAATTCGTGAAATAGCCCTTGTTTGCAACTTTAATTGCATGTCTCAAAATTGTGATGTGATGAAGCAATTTTGAAGACAGATTCGTGTTCAGCGTTCAAAAAAACTATAAGAAATGGCTAGTTACGTGTCAGTGTTTCTTTTTGTTGAACAGTTATTTACTTTATGTAATTTTTTTTCACCCTATCTGTTTCTTTCATTCACTGATTGGTGATGTCTCTTTCTTTTTCCTTTCCTCTGTACACTCTAATATCATTGTCTTCTCTCGTCATGTTGCACGATAGAATGTCGATTTAGCAGAGTTGATAATTTGGATTCTGATTATATGGTAAATATTTTAAACTTTAGTAAGTGAAAGATAATTTATTACCCAGCAAACATCGATATATAATTGTTACATTGCTATAATAAAACGGAATATAACAGATAATATAACGTGCACGTTACATGTAACATCCATGTTAGTTGTAATTTCCCACTCATAGATGTAACATTTTAATATAACATATATTACATTGTAGTTATATTGTAATTATATACCAAATAGCACATTGATGTATTGATAAATCAGTGCTATCTTGGGATGTAATGACAATATAACTACAATGTAATATATGTAATATTAAAAATGTTACATCTATGAGTGGGAAATTACAACGAACATATACGTTACATGTAACATGCTTAAGTATATAACATTTATATACTGTGTTTGCTGGGTTATATATAAAGCATAAAATAATCTTTTTTTCCTTTAACATGAGATATTAAAACCCATACAGCACAGATTATTGCAATTATATTGCAGCAACGTTGCAATGTTGCAAATTGCAATGCAACATTATAAAGACATTGCAGAGATATAGGTGCACAAAATTCCAGCACACTTGTAGCAACATGACATTAATATTTCGGAAATATTGCATGTAATTCAAATTCTATAATTTATATATTGTAATATATGTGTGTATATACATATACCCAGCAAACACCAAGTTACAGCTATATAATTGTTAGTTGTTATTTCCCACTCAAAAATATAATACGTGTATTATAACAATTATATTGTTGAGTGGAAAATTACAACTAACAATTATATAACTGTAACTTGGTATTTGCTGGGTATAATACTGTAATAAAATAATTTTTTGCAATATTGTACAATAAAAGATGTTAACGATAATCAATAATTTTATTATCTTCCAAAAAGCAAACATTTTAACATTGCTGCAATTCAACAGCAATGATGTAGCAACATTTTGCAGTGAATTTGCAATATTGTAATATTGCGGTGAAACATTGTTGTAATGTTTTTGCACTAACGGTGCTGTATGGGAAACAAGTTCTTAACATTATTGAGAGGATAAATTATATATTGTTTTCTAATAAAAATTATGGACAAATGAAGTAGTGAAAATGTTTTTGAAGTATAATTCTATCAAATAATTATTATTTGATTTGCATAGATAGGTAGAGTCATATAATAGGATTTTTAATCTCATCAACAAATTATTTAATCGTTTACCTGTGCACACGTGGAATAGAATCTTTGAACATCACAATATTGCCTTTAAAAATTGTCATAACAGATTGTTTACTGCGTACAAAAAGTAATTTAATTGGCTTATGAGGAAACAACATTATAAATATATCAACAGCATCAAACCCATAGATATACATTGTTTCTTACACTATGAAACCTCACAACCGACAAAAATATCGAAAAATTGTCCTAGGGCAATCACTAATAACGCTAAGGATATTAGTATATACATAGAAGCCAATAAATTTCTTGATAATATGATTCATCCTTTGGAAAATACCAATAAAAAATGGTTTATCAATCTGTCCAATATAGATATTCCTCTTAACGTTTCTAATGTTTTGCAAATGAGTGATAATTTCTGCCTCCCAAACATTAATAAAAAATAGCTATACATGAATTTATTAAAGACATAGAGAGTAATCATAAACGGAATAATATTAATAATCTCACAACTATTAGAAATATTGCTGTTCCGAAATTTGCACAACTTCTCAACACTAATGATAAAAATGATTTAATTCAACAAAAACTACTTGGTTCATACAGAGATTCAATAAAATTTTGTAAAGATAATCCGAATATTATATTCACACGCGCGGATAAGGGTAACGCTACGGTTGCAATGGAAAGATCTTATTATATTAATAAAATAGAAAACGTATTAAAAAATGTTAATATATACACTATTGTTAATAAAAATTCGTGCAAAAAAAATAGAGAATGAAAATGAATATTATAAATTACGTTCTAGTGATTCTCTCCTTCCAAAAGCGTACGGATTACCTAAAATCCATAAGGAAAATTATCCAGTTAAAATCATAGTTTCATCGGTTGATACATCTTTATACTCGCTGGCTTTGTTTTTACAAAACATCTTACAAACTAGTCTACCTAAAGCTAAAAGTCATATCAATAATAGTTTTGATTTGTACAGCATGTTGTCTGGTAAAAAGATTGATGAGAACGATAAGATATTTTCTTTAGATGTTGTTTTCTTTATTTACGAACGTACCTCTAGATCTTGCGATTAATGGGATTAATGATAGATGGGATCACATTGAAACAAATACTAGAATACCGAAAAGCGAATTTATATGTGGTATAAAATTCATATTGACTTCTACTTATTTTACATTTAATGACATAATTTACAAACAGACTTTTGGGACCCTTATGAGGTCTCCGTTATCACCAATTATAGCTGACTTTTTTGTTATGCAAGATCTTGAGAATACAGTTCTTAAAGCGTTAAATTTAAAATGTTTGTTTTACTTCCGTTATGTAGATGAAATAATATTAGCCACTTCTATGATTAATATGACTCAGATAGTTAATAATTTTAATAACTATCATGATAGACTTAAATTCACGATAGAACAGGAGGTTAACCGTAGCTTGAATTTCTTAGATTTATCACTAAAAATTATTAATAACACAATATACATTGATTGGTATCAAAAAGAAACCTTCTCAGGAAGGATTTTATCATTTTTTTCTAACCACCCATTATGCCATAAAATTGGAATAATATACAACCTTGTGGACAGATGTTTGTTGTTATCACACTCACAATTTTTTAATAAAAATTTGGAGTTAATCATTAATATACTCACAAGCAATGGTTACCCTCTTGATCTGATTTTTAACAAAATTAATCATCGGATAGAACACCTTATATCTAAAAAAAGCATTATAAAAAGACAAGCTAACATAGAAGGAACAGAAATTATAGAAAAGGAATCAGTTAATAAAAAATTCTTTGTCACTCCGTATATAAATAGGATCTCAGAAATGATTGTCTCCTCGATAAAAAATACAGAGTGTATAGTAGGATACATATGTCTCAACAAACTTGATAACATTATTAAAGCACAGAAAGATAAAACTAAACATCCATGCAATTCGAATGTTGTTTATAAGATCAATTGCAATAATTGTAATGCATCTTATGTAGGCTAAACGAGGAGGCAATTACAGACGAGACTAAAAGAACATAAAAATAATATCAGGTTGCACTCAACGAAATATTCAGTAATTTCTGAACACATAAGAAATAAACACCATACATTTGATTGGGATAACGTAAAGATTCTGGACAACGAAAATAATTATTATAAAAGACTTATCTCTGAGATGCTACATATTAAAAAACAAAAAAATGGGCTAAATTTAAACAAAGATACTGAATTACTCAGCGAGTCTTATTTTGATATTTTGGATAAATTAGCGAACAATAAATAATAATAAGACAAATAGGACATTAACGGTTTAAACATAGGTATTAGATCATATATAAACACGCACATTCTTCGATTAAGTAGAGTTTGAAATGAGGTGTCTTTTATATTGTTGGTCTTGTCTTGTGTCATCTTCAACAATTTTTTCAAAAATACGTGGTTAAAATTGTCAAGAAGGACGATATCAAGTAAGCATATTGCTAATTGTTAAGGATATATATTTTAATTTTTGACATACGTTAATCGTCAATTTTTTATTAATCGCAGCGCCTACGGAACGTA